GCTAATTAGGCAACTCCACAGTAAGCATCTCGTGTAGAAGCCCCTTACTGGATTTTATAAGACTTACCTGATCAAAACACACTATTTATATCTAAATGACCAAGTATTTGTGTCCTTACCAGCACAGATCATGAAGGCTATGCTTTTCATAATGAAACCAAATGATGATTTGCATATTAGTCCCCTAAACATATCAGCAACATGTGTGGGAGGACAGACGACAGCAACGCATTATTAGTCTGAAAAGAATTATTCATTACTTTTTATCATTACTTTCATTTAAACCATGGGACCACATCTTGTGAAGAGATAGGAAAAACCTCTCACTTCTCATTTCTCAAGAAGCATGTTATGTTTCTTCAAAATTGGAATTTCTTTTTGGTTACATACAGGTGTTACATATCTACTGGGGGAATCACTTCTCTCTTGATAGAAACCACAAAGTGTATACAAGTTTATCAAGTTTCTTTTGCAGGAAAAATGCCTTATGTGGGAGAAAGATCTTTCAGTGAGAACGATACCTTCTGTGGGAGAGTTTCTCCCACAGGAAAAATGTGTGGATGCTTCCCCTCTGCTCAGCTTCTCCTGGGGATCAGAAGGAATTGAATTGTAGGGCAATGCTCCCTGTACCTTCCCTAGGTCAAGGTCACACTGGTCTGCAGAAGCCAGAAGGGAAAAATGACTGCTTGGTTCTTCCCAGTTCTGGGAGAAGTCAAGGAGCAGGGAAAGGCTCCTGTGCCTTCCACAGCATGGGGTACCAGATAAGGACTTTGCCTCACCACTCCCCGACCAGTACAGTCTGGAAGGTGAGGGGACTAGCTGCTGCTGCTCCCTGCCTCTTCAAACCAGTCTCTGCCCAGTTTGAGGAAGAGGCTGAGAGGGCTTTGCTTTGCTGCCCGCTCTGCTACCCACTCACTGCAGAGACTGGGAACAGAACAGAGGAGGTTGATCTGCAAACCCTGGTCTGGGCAAGATATAGAGAGTCTTTCCTCACTGCTCCACTTTCCCTGAGGACCCGAAAGAGTGGAGCAGCCACAGTTCCTCATGCCTTCCTCAGACTGGGATTGCCTTGGTCTGGCAAAGACTTGGAGAACAGGGGAGAGGGGGCAGCTGCAAGCTGTATGTTCCCTCTCCCAGTACAACTTCTATGACATTTTTCAGAAATTACCACCGCTGCTAGAAATGAATGCCTATTCATAGCCTGTAATTAAAAAAGCAAAGGAGATATAAGAGAGGAATTGCTGTGAGATTTTTGATTGAAACATTCATATTCAGACGTTCATCAAAGACATCATCTTTGTTTCCAGTGTTCACAGTAATTTTCTTCTTATATTTGAAGTGATAGTGATAGGTAGTAAGATCACTAAGACTGAGAAGGACTTTTCTATGGAAATATTATGTCCGTAACATTCAGAATGTATGTTTGACATACAGAAAATGTAATTGTTCTAAGTACATACTATATCTTGAGAAATATTTTTGTGAAACAAAACATACAGTACAATTCATTTTAGAATATATATATATGCACATGAATATATGGCTGAGAATAGTGGTGGGTAAAATGTGATCAATTTGGAGGTTTGTTTTAGCTGGGAAAAACATAAACACTTAATACTGCCTCTGAGCCTCTTCAATGCACAAAATTGGGAAAGATTAGCTTTTCGCACAGAATATTGGCATTTTTACTTCTCTTCCTAGCTAGAAACATAAATTGCACAGTTAACCAAACTTTGAATGAAGGAAAACATTTCTGTTCAGATTTCAACAGAGTTTCAATAAAGCATCATGGCTGGGAGTTATCTTTTTTAAACCATTTCAACAATGCATGGGGAGATACTGAAAGACAGAGGCTGTCCTAGATACTTGAATTATAGTAAACTAGATGTACGTTTACGTTGCAGGTGTCCACCCAAACTCCAACAAGATATGAAATAATTGTTAGTTTCACTTGAACCTTTCCATTTTTACCTGAAATAACAAAAAAAGCCCTTTGAAGCATGTTAAAAGAGTTGATTTCATCAAGAACAAACCTACCCACCCTAAAGATCAAAGATAGCATTCAACAAAATACCATATCATATCTACATTCTGCATTTGTTGCCATTTAGACTGAGATAACTTGTATCTTTCTCAAGGTATTTCATTATAACCACTTAAAAATGTCCTCATTTTTCAAAAGTTTTATTGGTAAGTTTGAAGACTAGACAAGGTCATACTGGTTTTACATCATTCTACATGATTTAAGTATATACAAAAACATTTGAATATTACACAGCTTGAAAGGTTGCAAAGGTCATTGTGTCTGAGATACTTCTGTACTTACTGACACATCAGAAGCCAGCACTGAATATATTTCATAGTTGTTGTACAGCAAAGATACACTCATTAGTATCCTTAGTCTTCAAAACTCACACTAATTTGTATGCAGTCATTCCGAAAGAGAAAGTCAACCTAAAAATCAGAACCAGTTAATGTGATAAGCCCTTAATAGAATATAGATAAAACTAAGCCTTGTGCCTTTGTTTTATTTCTTAGGCTATAAAAGTAGCACATTATAGAGCTATAGAAAGGTGAAGTCTGCCTACAAATATTTAACTGGTTCAGGGTGAAATTTAATTAGGAGAACATTGTCACTCCATTTCAATGTCATTGTTACAATTAATACAAAAGTTAAAGATTATTTCAGAATGCTTTCCCAACCTTTCTTAAAAGGGATATATTCTACACTTTCTGTGTGTGTGGAATTCCTGTTGCTTCTAATGGCGTTAAGGATGGACTTGTTTAGAATATGCCTAAGGATAATGAATTTAATGCTTACAAAGGGGTAAAAAAAAACAAAAAAAGAGGAAAAGTGATCCAATGGGCCAAATGATCCAAATGGGCCAAATCTAGCTCTCAGTTGCTATCTTAAATCTGAAGTAATTCCATGGAATTCAATGGATTTATTTTAGATTTATATGGCTGCCACTTGGAGCAGAATTTGGCACTACGATTACACAATTCAGTTTAAAGAAAGTGATCTGGCAACTAAACACTGAATGATGTCACTAGAAAAATACCCAGTGAATCTTTTGAAAATGTAAAGGCATCACATAGTATCACAGGGCATTATAACAATACTGTATTTGGAACTTTCTCTTCAGGCTCTGATGAATGAACTGATGAAGACTGACAAAAATGAATAGATAGAAATATTTAACTTTGTAAAATATAGATGAGAAAATTATGATATCCCATTGCATAATGATGCTATTTTTTACGTGCAAATGAACATGAAAAATAATCAGTAAGCCAGGACTCAGAATTTAAAAAAGTATTAAAGTACTAGTAAACAGAAACAATTACTCATGAACATATAAATTAAATTAGAAATCAACATTAAAGCCAATTGCTGACTTAGAGGGCCTAATTTTCTGAAGCGGCCTCTGATTTTGTGGGCACAGGCAGGTTGTGGTAGTGTCTGCGTGTTTTTTATTTAATACCTGCAGTGAAATGCAGGGGATTTTTTTTCACAAAATAGGAAGCTTGGTTTAGACCCTTTTACATATCACATACAGGAAAAATCTAAACATTACTCAACTTTCTTCCTGTGAAGAGCCTAAGGTGCAAAACATGGGCAACGTGTAATTTAAGGAATACATCAGTCCCCCTTTACTCCAATAGTTTTTGCTCTTTAAAAATGCCATTATGATTGACTTTCTCTTTAAAATTGTTCACTACGATTGAAGACCACTTCATATATACATTGTTAAGGAATGCTGTTAACACAGTTACAGACAAGACATTAACAGTCTAGTGGCTTTTGTTATGCAGCACAAATTAAAAAAAAAAGAAAAACAAAATAACTTAGCAGTGTTGCACAGGACCTCAACATTTCTTACACATACTTTCTTTTACCTTTATAGACTCTTAATTAAAAGTCTTTGAAAATCCATGTCTAAGCCTTATAAAATAAATACTTGTATAAATATAGCTTAAGGGTTAAATAATTTTATAGTGGCAGGGGTTTTTGTTGTTTTGTTCTTCTTTACTAGTTCAAGTAATTTGAGATTACCCCTAGAGAAGACCTCTAGTAATCAATAACAAACTGCTTTGAAAATTTCCAGTCACTATTTTCAGGTCTTTTAAAGCAAAATGGATATTTTCTCTATGTGGAGAATATGAGATCATACACATTTTGAAATTCAAACATTTTTAAAAAATAAGCTTTTGCTTTGTAGATTAGAGGCAACTTATTTATCTGGGAAGCAGGGCTCAGGTTCAGAATGCAATGCTTGAGAGTCAGTGAGAATGTAATGGTGACAAACACAGTGGAACATGGAATACTACATATCTATATCAGCATGTTATGAAATTAAACTACGACTAATAATCTGACATTTCAGATAACATTACTTTAAATAAATAGAAGGGTCCCTACCTTTTATCCCCAGAATTTGAGAGGAAAGCAGTAAAATAACAATCTCTCATGGAGAACTCTTTGTTTGTGAAACTCAAAATACTTTAAAAAAGTGGATACCACTATTTCCCATTTTACAGATAGAGAAACTGAGGCACTGAGGTAAAGTAACCCGCCCAAGGGCACAAAACAAATAAGTAACAGAGGTGGGAATGGAGGAGGATCTTCCAATTCCCAGTTTTATGCCCTATCCACTAAAATTACACTACCTCACACTGCAAAAGAGATGCGTCATCGGAAAACTGATAATACTAATGTAGAAGCCCTAAGTCCCGTGTCACAGGACTACTTCCAGCTACATCCTACATCCTAGGGAGGATGTTGCTCCCAACATCCACTGCTCTGTGTTCATGTAGCTCTCTGGTATCAGTGAATCCACACCCTATATGTCTGACACATTCCAGTTCCTCCCAAGCTGAACAGTTTCCCCCCACATAGTTTCTCTTAATTTTGTTCCTCCACACAGCA